TTATTATTATTATTATTATTATTATTATTATTATTATTATTATTATTATTATCATTGTCATTAAGAAACACCATAGAAAAAAAATGATACTGGTGTGGTGGGGCTGGCCTCCGCAGTATATTCCTCCTCGAATTCTGGCTCAAGAGGTATTTTAGTTGGCGGCAACACTGTTGCTGTAATTGGTTCTGGATCAGCGTCTGCTAACTCGACCGGTCTGCAATAATATTTTGTTTGAAAAAAATTCCAGCATAAAAATGACCCTCCATATTCACTCTTGAATAAAATTCCTCCATATTCACTCATCGCAAGGAGTGAGGGCACTGGAAGTTCGATGCCAAAAGCAATTACTCGCTCGCAAAGCCATCATTGGTCTTCTCTTTCGAGGGTTGCTTAAAGTTAGCTGATGGTAGGTTTAACTCCTTGGCATAAACCAACTTCAATCGTCCACCGGTACAAATGGATCGAATATTAGAAGGACCGGTTGTTCGTTTAACAAAATTGAATCCATATCCTTTAGTACGAAATAGTGCTACTTAACACATTACCATTTAAAGCTGACAAATTTTGATGAATAAAAAAGCAAAAGCTTACACCGAGGGATCATAAAATGGCATCATTATGGATTGCTGGCGCTTCTCCTCGATTTTTTTCGCTTCACTTCGCGAACCTCGGCCCTCGAAAATCGACGCATCTTTTAGCAGGATTAATTTCCACTGAAACAGACCAAATTACCATTACCATGCAAAACCACGCGATGGTCTCGGATCACTGGCTGATCCAGGAGGGCGAGGAAGTGCAGGGGACCGACCGATGGAGGAGGGTGGCAGGGTGGGAGAGGAGGAGGAAAGGTGGGAGGGGAAACAGCAGGGGAAAAAAATCGCCAAATCCCCCTCCTCCCTTCAGGAGACCGCCCTGGACCCGCCTATGCCTCTCGGATGGTGTTTTTGAGTATTCCCGCAGCCGAACTTCGGCAACCCCTAGCACCTACCACGCGGCTGACTTATAAACGTAACCAACCCAATCTTTAATCAGTACAATATGTAGAAAGATGAAAAGAACAAGTATCGTGTACCGATACATTCGTGCCAAACAGCGATCCCAAACAAATTATGGCTATGTTTTCTGAATTATGCAATTTTAAAAAAAAAAAAATACTGTTTGATGATTTTCGACTAACATCACTTTTTGCAGAGGAAAAGTCATGCCGGTATAATCACATTAATGATATCGCCAAAATATCCAATCTCACCGGCTATCAATCAACCGGAGAGTTCTACTTTTTTGGCGTTTTAGATGCTGTGACAAAAGCGCCACGCAGAACGCCCATGCATTTTTTTCAAAGAAAGTGAAAAATTTGAAGTAGCGCTGTCTCACGTGTGTTAAAAACAATCAATCCGGATTAAAAACGGGGCATTCGAATAGTCATTTATCAAGACCGCACAGACAATCGGAGCAGTGAATTAACGTTAGTGATGTTACTACACCCTCATTACTTGTTTTGCCAAAATTATACTAGAACTTGCGACCCTAAGCTGCATGCCCCCAGGTAATTGTAGCTGTATGATTAATAAATGTGCATTGTATCCTATATCCATATAAGTTTCATATAAAGATTAAAAAAAAATAAAGCTGATTGCAAAGGAAAAATTCCCCTTTCGTTTTTTACAGCAAAAAATTTCTCATAAGTGACGATTTCCAAACGTGGAAGAATTTTCACACGACGAATGCGGAAAAAAACGCGTTTTATCCAAAATGTTGGGCAATGTGAACATTTGACGGCGCATGGACGTTTCAAGCAAATTTAGGATGTTCGTTGGCTTAGTGATCAATTCTTTTCCCGGTGGCAATTGTTGAGTTTTGCGCGCGAAAACCCATTATATAAATATGTGTGTATGTGTGTGTATGTGTGTGTGTGTGTGTGTGTGTGTGTGTGTGTGCGCTTGTGTGATGGTATCAATTCTGTTCTTTTCTTTGTTCGTTGTTGCGCCGTCAGTGTGGATTTCGTCAAGAAAAATTCCGCCATTTCCCCAGCGTCTAAGCGCAGCGTAACACGAAGGAAGAGCGAGCTGGCCGCGAGGAGCTTCGTCTGGGCGGGGTTCGCCGGTGTTAGGCGAGGCTTGCCAACAAAAGGATAAAAAAATTTGAGATGAAAATGATCAAAAGATTAACGAAAAATGTACAGACCGGAATGTGGGTGATCCCTTCCAATCGGTTTGAACCAAAGCCAAACTCGGTTATGTGAAGATTGCGTTGCTCTTTCATAAATGTTCGTTCACGTTGCATTTCCAAATGTTTCATGTCTTCGGATGATAACTTACTGACATTAACTG